CGGCGCGCTCGACGATGGCGACGACGTGGCCCGCAAACGCCGGCGGCGACGACTCGTTCTCCTCCTCGTCCTCGATCAGCTTGAGCTGGGCGCCCTCGACCTCGAGGTCGTCCTTGGCCTTGTCCGGCTTGCGCGACGCCAGCCCCGTCTGCTCCTCCTTGCGCTTCTTCTTGTCCTCCTTTTCCTTTTTCGTGTTCCACACCTCGAGCGGGTCGAGCAGCTCGACGGCCACCACGTCGCCCTCAAGCGCTCGGTTGCGGTCCTTGGAGCCGCTGATGAAGATGTCGCTGTCGAGCACCTCGGTGGTGACGTAGGCGTCGCTGCGATTGCGCTTGTTGATCCGCAGCACGCCCACCACGAGCTTGCCCTCGGCCAGCAGGACGGGCAACGTCGACTGCTGGAGGTAGTTGCCAAAGAGCGCCTTGCGCTGCAGCGCTCCACCCGGAGTCTGGCCCGGCTGCTGCTGGTTGAAGCCACCGGCGCCAAACTGGCCGGGGAAGCCGCCAGGGCCCATGGGGTTGAAGCCGCCGCCGAACGAGGGCGTCTTGTGGTGGTGCTGGTTGTGGTGGTGCGGGGGCGCACCGCTGGCCTGGGCCCGGAACTGGCGGAGCGAGGCCAGCTGCGCCTGGGCAGAGGCGAGATCCATGACCTGGGGGCCACCAGGAGTGCCGTTGATCCGCCAGCTGGCGCCGCTGTTGGTACGCCCGTGACCGCCACGGCCCGCGCCGCCGGGTCCTCCGCTTCCCGCGCCGCCGAAGCCGTCGGCGAGATCGTTCATCGAGCCGCTGCCGTTGAACGAGTTGAGGCTGATGAGTCCGCCGCCGGCCATCAGGTATTCGGGCGACAGTTGCTGCAGCTGCAGCGAAGGGTGGCTAAAGTGGCCCATCGACGGCTGCGGCGGCTGCGCGCTCGGGCTGAACGCGGGCAGCAAGCCGGCCTGGCCAGCGCCGCCAGGAGGCGTGGGGACGCCGCCCCCGACACCCAGCTGCTGGTTCTGGCCCTGCTGCTGGCGGTTGCGACTGATGGTGTTGGGGAAGGAAAAGTCGGGATTGGGCTGCATGGCCGGACCGCCCTCGCCGGAGTTGCTGTTGCCGACGTTGACGCTGCCGCCACCGTTGCTGCCGGCAGCCGCCTGGTTGGCCTTGTTGACGACGTTGACCGAGTGGCGACGCCCGTGTCCGCGCGGCAGGTTGGCCGAGGGTGGCGCGCTCTGCTGGTTCATGGCGAAGCCGCTGAGGCCGCCGCCGAACGAGTGGCTGGTCGAGAAGCTGCCCATCGGTCCGGTCTGCGGCGCATGGCTCTGGATGCGGCGGTGTCCGCCGCCGATGCCCGCGCCGCCGCCAAAGCCCTGGTGCATGTTGAACTGCTGCAGTCCGGCGCCCTGTCCGCCACCGCCAGGGCCACCAAACGCGGCCTGCTGCTGCAGAAGCTGCTGCTGCTGGAGCTGCAGCATCTCAATCTGCTGCTGAATCGCCACCTGCTGGTCGGCATACATCTGGCTCTGGGCGGTCAAATTGCTGATGCCGCCAGGGCCGCCAATGCCGCCCATCTGACGACCACCGCCGACCAGCCCGCTGATGTCACTGCCGCTGCGGCGATGGGCGGCTGCGGAGAGGTGGTCGTGTTCCTGACGGCTGTTGCGGGTGGGGTCGAAGGCAGACCCACCCATATAGTCGATGCTGCTGGCGCCATCGTCGGTCATATCGTCCATCTCGTTGGGCGACGGGCCGAGGCCCGAGCCCATGTTGTACCCGAGATCAGCGAAGCGGCCCTGTAGGCTGAGTTGACGCTGGTGGGCGTTGGCCGCGCGCAATTCGGCTGCCGTGGCTCCGCCGCCGCCGCCGCCAGCAGACGGGTTGGCCGCGTGGCGGGCGACGGCGCTCTGGAAGGCGGCGTTGCCG